AGGTGCGAAAGTTAATAATATAATGCATAATTCATCCCCCTCCCCTTGGCATCCCTGAGCACAGTCCAATCATATTGCCCCCAAATGTCAGGGGTGAGATAACTTCAAAAGGCATCACCAGGATGGAATGCTGGACCGTTGCTGGACCGTTGGCCTTGGTGGGAAACTCCCTTCCTCCACATGCACAGTAAGGTGGTCAGTTCAGCGTCTAGAAACTTCCTCCAGCACAGCAATGATTCCCCTCCCAAATACTATGCCCCCCCTCCCCGTTTCAATGGCAGCCGAAGCAGCAGCAAAGCAGAGGCTGACATTGGATATGTCCCTTGCTTGGACTCTCCAAGCAGCGCACAGGAAAATGACCGTTGGGTTACCTGAACGGTCATTCTCTGGGCGCTGCGGGAGAGTCCAACCCCGCCCTGGGGTTTTCTTTTCTCTACCGGATTGAAGCGGCTGTGAGGAGCAAGAGACTATTGACAAGACTTGAAGAGACATTGTACACACGACCATCAAAGACCATCACCTTCATTTTTGAACTGGCCCTCAATGAGGAAGGGAGGCATTGCCAAAAGAATTAACTCAGTCTTTGGGCGAATAGACTGAATTTAACCCATGCTTGGACTCTCCCACAGCGCCCAGAGAATGACCGTTCAGGTAAGCCAACTGTCATTCTCCTGCCTCCTGTAGAGGGTGCTTTTTTAGAGGCTTTTTTTAAACAGTTAAGCACTAAGCAGAGTCATCCACGGTGACTCTGGAAGCAACTAGCTCAGCCTTTTTCCTTTTCCTTTTTTTCTTTTTTCATGATGACAATGGTGAGGCTCTGCCTCCCCTGACTGCATGTCCCTGTCTAGCTGTATTGCATCTTAATTTTTCATATGAAATATTCTTCCTGTTTAATTTGTCTGACACCCTAAAACGTAAGATGAAAAATATTTTAAATTACTTCAAGTATGTAAAATGATTCATCAAAATACTCTGAACAGGTAGAATATGTGAATATAACTTCATTCATGCTTAAATTTAAATATTTGAATACAAGCCAATGATAAATTTCCCCTTTTTAGGGAATGCTACCAAATCCGAAAGAAACCCCATTCCTTTTATCTTTTGCAATTGCTCAAGTGGTGACAATATTTTCTGGGATACTCTCCTATCCATTTGACACTGTCAGAAGACGCATGATGATGCAGGTAAGCAATTCATCCAATGTGAATGTCCTTGTGACTGTCTGGGCTACATCATTCTGTTCTGATATTATTTGTTTCATCTCTCTCTTCTTTAATCAGAAAATGTGATATTAAAATATAATGCTGAATAAAGCCATTGCCCTATCTAACTCAATATTGTCTAGTTATTTGAGCAACAGTTCTTCAGAATCTCAGCAGGAATCTTTTCTATAACTACAGAGATTCTGCAAGCAAGTATTCTGTTACTAAGTAGCCTCTGTATAAGACATACACATTGGCCTATACCTTGCATGCAATTACAATTTCAAATAGGGACATTGGTATTTATAAATTAGCTATGATTTGTACACAACCTTGACATAACTAACATTGGAATTGCAAAATAAAATATGGTTTTCTTTTATGTGTTGTATCCAATTATTTTGGCAGTTATTAGATTTTTTTTAATCACCAATGTTGGAATCAAAGCAATAGGAGTAAATATTAGCAAATAATACGTTTTGTTGAATTGGTAAATTCCGTCCTCAATATTTTTTGTATATGTTTGAGATATTTGAAGGGGGGGGGGACTGCTAACTGGTATGCAAGAGAAGAAAGTTAAGGATATATATGTATATGTATTTTGTGTGAATGATTTGTAATACATAAATTTGGATGAAATCTCTTTTTGTAAAAGAAAAAAGAACCACAACTGTCTCTTTCAATTTATTATTATTGTTACTTCTTTACCATAGAACCAACATTTAAAACATCTATACATTACGGAATTATAATCATTTGGTGCCAAATCATAGAACATAGAATGACAGAATTGGAAGGGAGATGGAGATCATGTAGTCCAACTCCCTGCTTGAGCGGAAGAGTCTATATCATTTCAGACAAATGGCTCTTCTTAAAAGCTTCCAGTGATGGGGCACTCTCAAGTTCCAAATGCAAGCCATTCCACTGGTTGATTGTTCTCACCATTAGGAAATTACTTCTTTATTTCTTGGTTGTTTCTTTCTTTGATTAGTTTTCATCCATTGGTTCTTGTATTGCCTTCTGATTTTTTGGAAAATAGGTTGACTCCCTCTACTTTTATTTGTGGCAGCCCCTCAAATAATAGCATTTATATCCACTCTCAAAAGAAATTAAGGAGAATCTAAAATTCAGTCAGTCTCAGTCAGACTAATATTTACTGATAATGAGAAACTTCAGAGTGAAAATTCATTACAGAACTTTGTACCAAAACCAGATATTTAAAAACTAGTAGTTTTTAAACTAGCAGTTTTTAAATTTTCCTTTGAAGCGACCTCTTTTAAGTCTTTTAAGTTTTAAGAAGTTTACAGAAAAACTTATTGGAAAAATCATAGACATTTTAAGTGTAGTAGCAGAGACCTACAACAGGAAAATATTTCTTCATTAAGTTCTTAGCAGTGGCAACATTTGAGGTAGTATTCCTTTAATTTAGTAAAAGAAATATTACAGAATAATTATTTACTATATATCAAGTGTATATGGTTTGCATTAACTTTTATTATATTTGAATGTTTTTTAATTCAGAGTGGAGAGGCCGAACGCCAATATAAAGGAACCATTGACTGCTTTATCAAGATATATGGCCAGGAAGGAATAAAAGCCTTTTTTCGTGGGGCTTTTTCAAATGTTCTTCGTGGGACAGGTGGTGCCTTGGTGCTAGTCCTTTATGACAAAATCAAGGAATTTCTTCATATTGATCCTACAGTAGGCCAAGCATCTGACTAAAACCACATTTTACTTGCATTGCACATGTAGAGATTGTTTTGAATATTAGTTTATTAATTAGTATTCCACTTTGTAACAAGTCAGTAGTATTTACTGTTATGATTTTAAAGCAATTTAAAAGTTACATTTACTTAGTTTTTACTTTCAAAATGCTTTTGCCTATTATTTCCCTTTCCAGTCTTTTCTTTGAGTCGTTATCTTTATCTTCAAAATCAAGATTCCTGGATTTCATCTTGAAGATAAGCAATTCTTTGGGAGGAAAAGGGAGAGGGAAACACTGAATTGCCTAGCCAAAGTTGTCTATCATAGTTGATAACTGAGCTTGGATTGGAATCCATTTTGGTCCGAGCCAAACCCAGTGGTTTACATTGGAGTTTAAACATTTTTATTAGTAAGAAATAAGAGCTTTTCCAAGCAAAGCAAAGCCCCAGTTAGTGCAAATTTATTCAGATTATTTTGTTAAAGAGTTTGAATTAAGGGCATCTTGAAGTGAATATACTGTTCTGCAGCAAAATAATAATATAAATTTCTTGCTAGGAGACAGTTTTCCTTAACCTTTTCCAGTATTACAGAAGGGGGGGATGTGTATTGAAGCAAAAACTGAGCATATTCAGTTAAAGGAATCGATTACTATGTAAGAATTTCAGTTACGTCTTTCCAAAGCAATAAATTAACTTTGTGTAGTAAAAAGCATCAGTGTAAAACAGTTAGTAAAAATTATAATCTCTAAATTTGTTGTTCTTCAATGATACTGTTCACAGGATGTAAAGTGTAAAAATGGAAGGAGAGCCTCAGTGTGCCTTTTGTCAGATACACACAAGGTGATTTACAACAGAAAGCAATAAATTGTAATAAGCAGAGAAAAAAGACAGTAAATTAGAACAAGAGAGAGAAAGAGAATATTAAAATCAAAAATCATAGGAAAGGAAATTAAAAGGAACACTTTGTTAAGAATCTACTAACAAATCTATAAGGCTATTGAAAAAGAATGTATTTCACAAATGCTAAAAAAAGTTTCTGAGCAGATATAAAGAAATCTGCAGAAAAAGATTGATGTTTGTGTAACAATAGTCATCTTTTCAATAGCATCTTCCTTAATGTCCATTGATGCTGGTCTCAGAAAAAAAGAGGTTCAGAAGATTTTATGAAAATAATAAAGAACATCATTTAAGTATTAATTGAAACTGTAAGGTTTAAAACTACAAGCATATTTAAACTGACCCTGATAAACTAGGAGCTAAAAAAAATCTGATGATACCAATCAAGAAAATAATTTTATTGTTAACTTCTGCATCAATTTTTTTAGAAGCAAATATCTGGGAAAAATTAGCCTAGTTATTAATAGATTAATAAAATCAGAGTTGACAAGTCACCTGCCAGAAAAGATTCCTTAAATTCTTAGCCAAATATTAGAATCAAACATTTATTTGATCAATTTCATCCACACATTTTAGTAGTCTCCATTACGTAGAGTTTAATAATTAGGAAAATTATATGGATCCAAATAAACAGGATAAGCATTACCTCTATGTCAAACAGGGAGAATAATACTTCAGAGATCAATCGAAAAAGGGCTGGGATTGTTTTCTCCTAAATTTAGAATGAAAAATGATGTAGCATTACAACTGGGATGGCTGATTTCTAATTCCAACATTAAGATGGTAATGAGGAAAGAAAACCTTGATTGTTTGATAGATGGTGCTAAGAAAAGTCATATATGCCAGTCAACAGGTGTACAGAAAACCTTTTTTTCTTCATGAATCAGTTGCATTCTCAAAGATCAAATACCTGTCATAATAACATGCTTACTTGCACCCTGAAAAGATGGGTGAAGAACTGTAGAATTTTTGTCAACCACGACAGATGAAGAGTGCTTTTAAGTCATTTTTTTGAGACTGTGCCCAGAAGGTGTCTTCAGGGAAGACAACGTTTACAAACAAATAGTTCTATTAAATTGGTTACAGATAGCATCTTGCTAGTGTCATATTAGAAACAAACAACACTGAGACACTAATTGGTTGATTTGAAAAAAGAATAACTTCAAACTTAACCAGGCAGATATTACAAACTTGATATTAAAATGTATTCACAAATACACAATGGACTTTATTTGCACAATGATCTTAATTATTATAATAATCGATGGATTATAGAGTACAGTAGCTATACACAATGTGCTAAATAAGAATATACTGTATGTAGTTTTGGCTTATTGTGTATTAACCCTATGAATCTCTTGCTGCTAAACCATACCTGGAAACTAGGGTTCAATTCACATATTGCATTAAGTCATGGTTCGTTAAATAAAATTGGCTGTTGGGCTTTGTGCTCTCTCTCTTTATATTATAAAGAAGAACTGACTGCATTCACATACAGTAAAATATTCTTTTTTATTCCAGTGTTTGTTGAAAGAAATGATTGATTGGTTGTATATAGATATAGTCCTCACTTAATAACAGTAATTTGGAGTTTTCTCACTATGAGAATTTTTCTCACTATGTTATGCAGTTGTATGTCATTACGTGACTGCTGCCCAGCAAAGGAACTTCTGGCACTGTTACATTCTTAAATCTTTTTAATTTAAGCATGTTAAGCATTTCATGCTATAAATAATTAAGAGTCAGTTTTCTTTAAAAGTGAACTGCCCATTCTAGGCTGTAGAAATCCAGGTGTTAAATAATTGGCTAAGGGCAGAAAAGAGATAAAATTTGTTATATCTCATTATGGCTCAGAAGTGGTAGACCCAGTAAAGAGCTTTTTTAAAATACAAATTGGAGTGCAAGGGTCCAATATGATGTATATTCACTTGGTATATTTCTCTCTTAAAGTCCATCTTTTTCTGCATTAAGATTAAGATTTTGACTAAACCTTGACTCCTCCAATTAGCATCAATCTTTAGGGTATGTGTATTCATTTAGGAAGAGGCAACATTTCTTCTGATGTTGAATATATTACATAACATGATTGAACAATGATTTACCGTAACTGAATATGAATATTCAAGTCTGAATATTGCAGACTTGAACTGGCAATACAAGGAATTAGCAATTTAAGTAAATCAAAAGTTTGATTCAAAACCAAATGCAGGTTGTCTTCAAATTACAACAATTGGGACCAGAATTTCTGTTCCTAAGTGAGGCAGATGTTTAAGTGAGTCGCACTTTTTTTGCCACAGTTGTTAAATGAAGTTGTTAGTTCAAGAACATGGAGGGATAAGCTCAAACTGACAGGAGGGAAGTTCAAAAGTAATATTAGAAAGTATTGTTTCACAGAAAGAGTAGTGGAAGCTTGGAACCTACTTCCAGCAGAGACAGTGGGTCAATCATCAGTAATGGTTGGGAAGATAATTTAATAGTGGACAGCACCATATGGGTTTTTTGGGTCCTGGGCAAATGAGTACATGGGTGAGAGAGATTTGTACCATATCTTGGGTCCCGCCTTAGAGCTTTCTGTTCATGTGTAAGGGCAGGTATCATGATTGGTTGTCAAGCTCCCATGGGGCCATGCAGAGGTAACTGTAGGTTGTCAAGTCCCAGGCTTGGTTGAATCTTGCTGGGTGATGATTTAATGAAGAGGGTTGTGTTCTGAAAGGGTTTGAGCAATTCCTATTATGGCTCAATGGCTGGTTTGGATCTGGTTTGGTTTGGATTAATGATCCTGGTTTCGATCTTGAGTGAGGGCTAATCCTATCATGTCCTGAGGATGAAGGTCCTTTGTTTTGTAGAGAAGCTGTCCCAGCCTTTCTGGGGCTATTAACAAACGTGGGGGCTGCTTTCCAAGAGCATGTTTCCTTTTCTCATCCAGGGTGGTATAATATTCTGCCTTTTTAATATTTCCTAGAATATTTCATTCTTCTAGAACAGGGGTGGGTGCTAACTTCCTACACTATAAAAGGGAGTTGGTTGCCAAGTGCCCAAATTGTGAAGTGTGGGGTGACAGTCAATTTTGAGGATGGGTCATGTCAGTTTTCCCAACACTATTGCAACTTCAAATCATCATTAAATGAATGTTGTAAGTCAAAGACTACCTGCATACAAAAACAACTCCCATTTAAGAAAAATAATTAGTGCAAAGCATCAGAAAAATAGAATCTGAAACGTATTACAGACAGTTGTGGGTTATCAGCAAAGTCACAGCCTTCTGCCTGTCCCGTTTATTTGTTCCAGTACACAAGGAAAAGATGGCTGATGGGAGAATACTGTATTTTCGTGCAATAATTTGCACCAACTGCAGAATTGCACCTATTGTGGAAAGCTGGGGGACACATTAAAATACTGAAAGCCATGGTATTCCCCATGACACTCTATGGAAGCAAAAGTTGAACTTTGAAGAAGCAGGATAGGGACAGTATTGAGATCTTTGAAATATGATGTTGGAGAAAACTCCTGAGAATATTGAGGCAGCCTAAAAAAGCCCCAATAGATTATCAACAAATAAAACCAGAATTCTCACTCCAGGCATATCTCAACATAAATTATTTTATTTTAGACATAGTATGCAAAGACCTAGTTGCCTAGAGGCTGTTGTTGCAAGAAATGTCCTTCTGGGTTCAGCTCCAAGTGGGGAAGAAGACACTGGAGACATGGAGACTGCTTGGAAAG